TAGCGGTAATAAAATTTATATCAATACCATAAAATCTTTTATCAGTGCCACTCCCGATTATTTATATTTAAATTAATATAGACGCAATAAAGTCCAATTTATATTTTTGTAAAAATAATTCAGTTTATCAAGAAATATATTTATTAATTAAGCAAGTTACAAATGCAAGAAACAATATTTATTTTTTAAATAATTATAAACAAGTTACAGAAAAAAACAATAAAAACGATACATTTTAATAAAGTAAACTATAAATCTACTACAATCTCTACATGTTTAGTTTTTTCTGACTAGTCAGTCGTTGACTATCCAGTCAGAATCTACTACTAGGTTGAATCAAAGCTGTAGGTAGTGACCACAATATCTTTGTAACAGCCTAATCAATGTGCTCTTGAAAGCATCGAATTTATGATTGGAAATATAAATGCAGACAAACTATTTCAATTCCTTGCTTAGCACATTATAAAGCAGATGGCTTTCGGCTTCGTCTGGATGCGAGTAAGATCTACTACGACAGTACGGAGCACTATGGGAAAATAACGTATGTTTCGTCTCAAAACTCTGTATCTCAATTATTTCAAAACAGAATGATCTATAGTTTTGCATACATATTCTTCAAAGTATATATAGTATAAGGCTTTATATAAAAAAATATTTTGAAAATTAAGTTTATTAATTTATTTAAAAAAATAAAATAAATGTAATTATATTTAAATATGTTTTGGCACCGTATCAGAAAGGGCGCAAATATTGCCAACTTTTTTTTTCCTTGTGTAAACTAATGTATAAAGATCGTAATATGTACAACTAATATCTCGACATCGGCAAACAGCAAACGGGTAAATCTCGTTAAAAAAAAGTAACCCGAAAATTATACCATCTTAAACTATATTGGTTAGTTTTAGTTTATTTATTTATTATATATTTATACATAATACCATGTAAGAAACTTTATAAGGAGATTATAAGTATTTCAAAAATGTATAATACTTAAACATTTATACCAAAAACTTTTTAATAATGTGGCGTTGAATTATAGTAATGTATTGTGAAAAAACCACATCATTGAATATGTTCAAGAGTTAGCTTTGCCTTTTTATATTCATTATGGTTCGCAAAAAATATAGAAAAGAATGCTTATTTATACGACTAAATTAATTTATCAGTTTTACTCCATAACAACGACTTTCATGTGAAAGTTTTTTGAGACGACCTTGTATGGTATGGGGCTTTCCCACAGAGCGGAGGTCCGCCGTCAATCGGCTTGTCCGAAGATAAAAACTGAATGCAAGAATGAAGGCATGCAGATCCAAATTTTATTTCATATATCACTGAAAGGCAGTTTACTTCGCCTCTTTAACGAAGTCTGATTAGGTTTGTTTTAACCGAGTTGTGATCAACAATAAGCTTTTTGTTTTGATCCACGGAGTCCAAAGCAGCTAGGTGAAGTTTGTCAAAGCCTGCCCAAATGTAACAAAAGTAATTAATAAACGATACAGCATGTGATTTTCATATACAAAAAGCTATCAGAATGAGAAATATTGCTTCTCTTTTGCTGAATGAACTATCCTTAGTTAAAATTCAAGAATAATTCAATATCTTATAACTTGTTTCGGTCAAGGTATTAAAAGTATACTTTCTGAAAAGTTGGAGTCAAAGTAATTGCTACTGTTATTTCAAAAAAACTCCTATTGCAATGAAAATTACTTCCATGTCAAATGTAACACCTTCCTATAATTGTAAATTTAAAACACACCTTTATCGTTATTATAAAATAAATGCATAACATGATGAAATAAAACAACACTACTTCTAATGAAAGAGGAAAGCTTCTCATAAGTAGTTGTACTAGGGTGATTGTTACATTAAATATCAAGCACCCTGAATTTACTCTGAATTAAAATGATTTCTTTGTAATTGAAAATTATTTTCTATTTTTTAGTTCGATTACTTATAAAAGCGTTTTTTGTTTGTTTTTTAAACTGTTACTAATTATAAAGAAAAACTGTAGCAATAACGATAATGAATGAAATTGCAATTTGTTTTCATCGGGAGTGTGTTCTGATAAAACAGACCTTTAGATGTATATAGCTGCAGTTATATAATTACCATTCTTTTTCAAGTATAAATTTATTAAACATTTTCTTCTCAATTCAGTATTGCCTTTGAATTGTATATGTAGAGAAAAATTGTTGTATTTGTTATTATTTAAGGAAGACTTTGTGATTACGAGTAGTATAAAATATATACGTATATACCTACTAATCATGTACTTTGTAGTATTCACTTATATGGTAGGTTATATCAAAATCTCCTTATAAAAAGCTATAAATTTTCAAAAGAACTTTACAATAACATTTCGAAGTATAAAAATCTTATTTCCTCTTTTTATAAATTAATTGGGCATCAATCAATATTAATAAAATAAACATAAAACGCAGATGAATAACAATCAATATTGACTCTTTAAACACTCTAAATAGATTTAATAGCTCATAAACATGCGTGAAAGTCTACGACAATACTATTGGTTTTATTTATAGATACAAATTGTAGAACGGAACGTGACAAACGTCACACGGAAATAGTGCTTGCGGCTAGCGGGGCCTGCAGCGGGGGGTTAAGGTTTGACGTAAATCCGCGTCACGTCGGCGGTCGGCGGGCGGCGGGCCTCTCATTCAGTCAACCAGTGATAAAACAGCTACACTGACGCCTCGAAATGCAGCGCGCTTGACTTGCCGCGTTAAACCAACGTATACCTAATGCATCTTTGCCTGCCACTAATAAACCACAAGTGAGTTACAGTGACCGTGCGCTGAGACCTTGACAATCACGCAATGACCTCGATGGCCTTTTACAGATGTCAGCCGTCACCGCACGGACAGCGGCGATTTTATCACATCTTAGAAAATGACTGAAGGTCCGTACAGACATGAGAAGCCGGTAAGTGACGTCAGAGTATTCGTGTTTGCAAACGGCCTATTTGCAAACCTATTGGACTATGTTAAACACGTTTTCTCCTTCAATCACTATCAATCAAAACGGTGCTTATCATAACTTATCTATAAATCCCGATTCATAGATCGACTTCAATTTATTTATATCTATTAAACGAATACACAGAGCGGGCAAAGGTTGACACGAATCTACAAGGCGATAAAATAAATTTTAAATGTTTTCCGGTTCAGAAAAATACCGAAAAATAACATGTAAATAGAACGAGCTCACATTGTATACATATTTCATGTTTATTATAATATTTTCTTTAAATTCAAACAGCAGAATATTAACTTATCATGGATTATTTATTATTTGCTTTTAAGATACAAATAAAATTGATGAATAAGGAAATATAAGTCACAACATTGCACAGCTATAAAATTACTTATCGCAGATAACGATGCAAGTTAATTGCTTATTGAATAAAACATCAAAATTATTATACATAGTTCTAAACATAATTTGTATTTAATCTGTGACGATACATTAAAACACATTATTATCTGTTTTAGTATTACGTAATCCATACTTGGCAACAGAAGTGTACTTTACCGCCATAATAAAAATGTTATTAACTATCGCAATATATCTTTACTTTCAAATCACATGATTGTACTACAAACCTTGAGACTATTGTCATAACTTCTAGTAAGGACTAGGAATATGAATATTTGTTATTAATCTCGCTTTTTATCCTCTAAATACTGTATTAATTAAATATTACTCATAATTGTTATCATATTAGTTTTATTGTATCTCATTCTTTCTATTTCACATTAGTAAAATATCAATTCAAATATATCACATGGTTAATTAATACGATTAAGTAATTACTTTAGTACGATTTTGTATCGTTAACGTGAAACCTACAGTATCATCGTTTTTCACATATAGATCGTTCGTCTTACGAACATTTCCGATGGTATACGAATGATAAAATATCAATACAATTTCGGTGGTTGCTAAAAATTCTTACTAAGTTTTCAGTATATATATGTATATAGATAAGATAAATCTTACTTAATCTGTCTAATAGCAAAAAATATATACATAATGGATTACTTTTACTTAATTATTCTGTAAATTCACATAGAAATACGAAAGAATTTATATTTAGAAAAATATATTAAACCCTATAGTCATATATAAGAACTATATTTTTGACAGATCCAATATAATTTATACGAACAAAAATCGGAGCTATTTTGAAGTCAGACAAATTTGTTTAATATTTATTTCTTACAAACAAGAAGCGACAGAAATATACAAGATGTTTCAAGTAACGGTAGATTAAAGTCGTTGATACTATACGTGTTAACGTAAACGATATCAACAAAACATATACTAAGGATAAAGAGCTCGAAAATAACAAAGCTTAGTGAATAATAAAATGAATTATATGAAGTTATATACGATACATAAAGCATTAATACTGACGTTAAAGTATCATAAAAATATCTAATATCTATATTCTATACTTCAACTACAATTATGGATAGTACTATCATTATTCATAGAAACAGTATTAAAATTTCTAGATGTTTGTTCATTTCATTCATACAAAAGTTAATTATTTCCACATCTTAGTTCTTTTGTTAAAGCAGACTATGTATGTGCCTATCATCCCTAGGTTAATTAGGAACGTTCACGTAAAATTGCTAAGAATGGAGAATAAATCGTACCTATCCATTCATTTTATCTCAACTATATTTTATACTAGCTGCGCCCCGCGGTGCTACCCGCGGATTTCCGGGATGTAAAGTAGCCTATGTGCTATTCCTGGACGTCAGCTTCCTGTATACAAAATTTTATCAAAATCGGTTCAGCCGTTTGAGCGTGAAGAAGTAACAAACATACACACACTCACAAACTTTCGCAATTATAATATTAGTAGGACACTCGTTGATTTTTGGAATAAAAGTCACCCTTCATCAATTAATCTCAATATATTTAGAAGCATAAACCTCCATATTCAGTAGGAGATGAAATTAATAAAAAAATTAATTAGTATTAATGAAGTTGAGGAAGGACGTGATTCTGGAGAACACGGCTGGCCAACCAAGTTCGCAACCGAGGGCTACAGTGTATGATGACACACCAATCTAAAAAAAATACAATAATTCATTATATGGACTAAAATTAGAGTAATTTGTTTGGTGCTATAGATATAGTATATACCAGCATGGGATTTCCATTTCTCATGACGACGAGTGGTCCGCCAGTGTCACCCTTGCAAGTACTTGAACCACCGAGGGTGTTGGTGCAAAGATTTGAGTAGTGGATGTTACCCAAGTACGCTATATCGCATACCTCGTTGGAAATAACCGTCATGCTGACATGACTCAAGTTTTGAGTCTCAGTTATATTGCCACCTGTTGAAAATATAAACTCAATATAATAATAATTAATATTATATTTTCTTCCATTTTTGCTAAATACAGGCGTAAATGCAATTTGTATATTCCCTAATAATATAACTCAAAACTGGAATTTCATATTATTAAAAATATTTTGGTAAAAGCCCATTTCATATCAGCTAGTTCCGACACAAACCGATCTAGCAGCTTAGCAAAAAAATATTGCAACTACTTCACCAAGTCAATTATCAGTTATATCAATTACTAAAATAAGACTTCATAGCTAACATCCTCCCAAAAACGATTAAGGACGGAAAAAAGATCACATGAAGTTCAGATTAAAATGCCATTATTACTTTCATTCACGCATACCACGCCCACGTATTGCTCTAGCAATAGATACAAAACGTAGTAAAGGTTATAAAAAATCACATACCATCTTTCTTAACGCCATAACCGGACGCGATAGCAGTGTGAAGGTGGAAATCTTCAAATATATCGAAACCTTGAGGCAAGGAGACTGTTGCGATTTTTGCTGGAAACACGAAAATAATTATCAATGATGCAAAAAATACAACATAAAAGTATGATAATAATTTAATACCTGATAACTCTACTGGTTCTGGTAGGCGGACCATGGCTATGTCATTGAAGGTTAATTGCGGTATCCATAGAGGATGAGTTACAACGTCTGTGGTGATGATTCTCTCTCCACCACTGAATAGCAGATTAGATCCGAGTACCACAGTGAATCTCCAAGCCTGGTTCCTACCGTCCCACCAGCAGTGCGCAGCGGTCAATACTCGGTCAGCCTTAATAAGACTCCCGCCACAAACACCAATCCCGAATACGTTACGTATATCCGAGATAATACCAGCCTAATAACAAACATTATCAATCTGATTATATAAGATTAATCGCTTCAACAAACATCGACTTTATCCTAAATCGCGGATTAAGCAACCAGTAATATCATACACTAGTTTTTGCCCGCGACTTCGTCCGCGTTAATTTCGTCATTAGTAATATAGGTATAGCTGACCGGGCGAACTCTATTCCGTCTTCAATAACCCGGTATTGGTATTTATTAAATTTCTACTGTTTCAATCGAACAGAATGATTGACATATTAGTTAGTTGTCAAGTCTAATGTCAAAAAATCGTTTGTATGGGAAATAGAGAAGGGCTGTTTTTAGGGTTTTTTCGGCAATCATTCCAATTTTTCTCACCTTTTAAACCTTCCCTGGACTTCCAGGCGTATTTCAAGACTAAAATTAGCCAAATCGGTTCAGCCGTTCTCGAGTTTTAGCGAGACTAAGGAACAGCAACCCATTTTTATATATATAGAAGATTACAATTATTTCTGATCCTCATTAGTGTTACGTAATTAGAAATTTCAAAATATTTTCAGTAGGTTTCATATTAAAAAACTACCTTATTTTTCTTTAGTGGCTCATATAAAAAAGGAATAGGAATTTTTAAGAATAAATACCTGGTATGGGAACTGTCCCTCTTCAGCTTCAGATCCTCCTGTTATTCTTGAAGCCCTGTTCCTCAGGATCTCTTCCTCAGCCTTCTTGAGACTCTCTGCAAGAGGCACGGCATATTTGGTCAGGTAGCCATATGTAGAGATAGGTGACTGTTTCGGGTTCAACGATTTCGCAGAGGAACAAGCAACGAAAAGGGCCAGAATAATTACAGACTTCATCTTGATGAATGATATAACTACCAGGATCATACGATTTATATAGACTTTTTTAAAAATAAAAAAACTGATAATATTGATAAATTTTGATCGATATTTGCAAAATAATCCTTAATTATCGTTAAATGCTGTACGCGCGTAATAACATAATCAAATTTTGTTACCCCTGCAATGAAAATGATAATGCTAATTCATTGCTGCTGTTTATCTAACAGCGTGATTGCAATGTTTTTCTGGTTGCCAATTAGAATTGAAAATTACGCTACGAAGTGTTAAATTCTTGCTCGCAACTTGATCTAAATGTATAGTAAATTTGTTTTTAGGAAACGCACAAATATTCTTAATAGAAAGATAAATAATTTAAATAAAATAAATTAGACATATGGATATTAGTTGTAGATAAAAATATTATATCTTCTGAACCTATTGTTCAAGAATGGGTCAAGAATTGCATAATATATAAAACGGTGTAAAATATACGCAAAGTATTATTCGAAGATGTTAAAATAACTTTACTAAAATACAGTATGTAGTAATATAAAGTTAAACATAAATTAGTGTTGAAAAATATCAATATATTTTATCTTCAGTTTAACAGATTATTTTGCAGCTGTCGCTAAAAATAATTTAATATGAAGATAAAAAAAAAACGTCTAACAAAAACCTATTCTAAAAATGACCTTCTTTAAAACAATGACAATATCTGTTATAAATCTGTCATACGTAAAAACTTATGGTTAAATATATTATTTATATAAAAAATATTAATGTCTGAAAACCAGTTTCTGTGGAAGAAATTAAGTTTTGGATAATAAGGTAATCTTATATTAGATTTTGACTAAATTCTCATAGTTATCATAAACTGGGGATAGCAAAAATTCATTTTATTAGATTGTATTTTGCAGTGATTTATTTCAATTCATTTGTTATTATTCAATAAGAAATTGATACAAGGCATTTTTGTTTCCCCATCATGAGTTTATGACATAAATTGAAGGAATTAATTTATGGATTTTACGCTTTTTATTCAATGTCAAGGTCGAAGCCATTTCATTTGATTTAGCGCCATTTTTAAATGTGCATGCACCTTTTATAATGTCATGTCAACAACTTGCATTAATGCCAAATGTGTTTCTTGAAAAACTTTATTTCTTTATATTTCTAAATTTTAGGCTAATTTATATTGAAATGGAATAGGTATGGTGAATGTTTACTGTAGTTAAAATGAAGTCAACATTTATTGAACTAGAATAATAAATTCAAACTTTAAACCAAAACTATTTTTCTGTATTTTGTTGAAATGAAATATAAAAAATTTATAATGAGATGTAAAATTATCGCGAGTATTCATTTAAATGAAACTATTTTTTTTATAGTAATATAATCCGAAAAATATTAGTATCATTTAAAGTATTTCTTCGTCGAGAAGAGTTAGTAAAGCTACCATTCGCCAAGGTCGGCTCCGACTTCCGTATACGGCTACAAACTGTGTTCATTGTTAATGTTAAAATAAGACAAATATTCCGTAAATATTAATACATTCATAATCATTAATTTGGACTCAGACTTCTCATTAAAATATCTTAACATTACGGCCTTTATAGTGTCAGATAATACATCTAATCTTATCTATGTGTATAAAAATTTATTTGAAACTCCTATACTTACCTATATCTTTTTCCTTTATTAATATCGCTCCCAATATGTGGTTTTCTAGCCTTTGTTACTAACCCATGTTACTCATTAAGGATTTTTTACACTATGACAACCATATTTCGAATTAATAATGATTAAAAGTAAGCTACCCCCAAAAAATATTATAAAAATATTGGTTTAAAATACGAGTAACAGTACTATCATAGTAGTTCTATATTTTAGAGACTATTTTATCATTTTAGACGATAGAATGGTTATAAATGTGTTGAAACTCACTGCTGGTTGCGACTTTTCACGAATATTAAACCTCCTTTGAGAGACGCAATATAATTGTGAGGTGTCATGCGATTTTTAGGTGTCTAAATAAGATCCTGACTTGGTGACAATGACAATTCTTTCATAAAAAATGTATAGAAAGTCTAATTTTCATTGAAGAAGTATTATCTTAAAAAAACATTTTAAATTGGGAACTTATATTTTGTAACTTTTATAATATTACCAGCGAGTGAAATTCAGTCAAATCGTTCCAGAGATTAGCTTAAACAGACAGACTGACAACACGGGATAGTCAAACATTTAAATACGTATATATGTGTTTAGTGAAATTACAAACAGTCACTTCAATTTTATCCAAATCTTTCTAATGTGTTTATTCTAATATGTTCAGATGTGTGTTCGCATTTGGCTGGAGGTGGGTCACTCTTGTGAGCCTCGTCGTTCCGCGGGGGGCAGAGCCCTAGCGCTCGACTGGCGGGTTTGGGTGAGGGGCGCGCGAGGAGACATCAGCGGGTTCGTCCACAAGGTCGTGTTCAAACTACATCCACCTACCGCCTTCGTATACCCCAAGAGAGGTATGAATTAGGACAATTTCTTCCTCATAGTTGACGTGCACTCATACCTGATTTTCAAATTGACCATTTATATGGATCTAGTTAAAATAAGGTCAATAGTTCACTGAATATTAAACAAAACGTAAAACACAATAGATTTGTAATATATAGTATGAGAGCACGTCAATTATTTCAACCAATATAAAGATGTATCCAATACATATAATATCATAAGTCATTTATTTATATCATTAAAAACAAGAATAAAATTATATATTTATATGTTAAAAATGCTTAAGTAAACCTCATTATCGTTATCGCTAGTAGATAGTCATTTTGGTGGAACGAGATCACACTAATACTAAAATTAACTTATTCCAGTGATACAAGAGCCGCCGTACGAAATCCAAGAGTCTGGATGCGCTTCCATCACCATACCTATAAAAGTGTACCTGAAGTACAGCAGCAAACCAAAGAAAATCTGCCTCAAATATAGTCTTCATATAGAGAACAATAATAAAGCGAACTCAGAGTCACGATGCGTTTATTACGACTTTGAAAACCCATCGGAAATTCTCTGCAGTGCATTGATGAAGGGCGGCGGAGAAATACTCGCTAGATCTGGATCAAACACGGGCAAACTGGTCGTATTATTCGACGAACGGACCAAAACTAAAGTGAAGAGATACAAGTTCATTGAACCCATACGCTGCAAACACGCGTCCAAGACGAAAACATCTTTAATAGATGAAATATGCTTGAAATGCGGCAGTTCCATCAGCACGGATATTAGAAAGCAGTTACGGACAGTCGATATGACGGAGAGTGAAATAAATCGCGTGTCTCAATTGTATTTAGCTTATAATAGTTACGAGAAGTCTTTGAATTCGTTGACTTTGCCGCCATTATCCGATCCTATATATAAAATACCAGAACTACCGGCTTCCTTACGTAGTGCTCTGACAAGCGTCGAAGCTGACTACGCGATGTTATAGTGCCTTGAATGAACTGTGCCATGAGACTGTTATGTGTTCAACATAGAAGAAATATATTAAAATAAATATACTCTATTTTACACATAAATATATTTGTGCATAATTTATATATACTAGTGTCAATTTTACTTGATATGTGCTGTGAATGTGATCTCAAGGGTCAAAGTTGTAATATATAGATACCTAAGAAATTATAAATAATATATATATTATAAAGTAATACATATATTCTTGTTAAATCGGTTTTTATTTTGTAGATAATTATTTAGTGTTGCAATTGATCATATTTTATGCATTCGTTATTCAAAACATTGTGCTTCCCGCGTCGGTTCCATTTTTAAAATTGTTCTCTATTTTATTATCATCTGTGAAATTAAATAAAAAGTATTTACATTAGTATAGAAGAAATATTTTTTGTAATGAAAATTTACATTCAAATACCTTAAGGACAGGGTATTATGAAACTAGATTAAATGTATATTTTAATATAATAAATTATCGTTGGGTAAGTTTATTGTTATTAAACGTTTGTTGTAGCACAAAATATATATAGATAATATACTAATACAGAGTGCATAGTTGTTACAAAAGAAAACCTTTTTACAAATAAAATATGACGTTGATGATTGTTTTTTATTTAATTCTTAAACAGTTGTAAATTGTAATAAAATCCTTTCTACTGCTATAATGTCTTGTTGTTACTAGCCAGTTTAGACTAAATCAGTCTACAAATCGTAGTGATGTCAGTCTTACTTATAGACAAGCCAACAAAAAAAAATATAGGTAAGTATTTTATACCGTAAAACGGGGTGTATAGAAATTGCGGGGTGAATAGAAAAAAAATCAGGAAAGTTTTTAATGTTATTATTTCAGTAGTTTTCGTTGAAGAATTTTAGTAGAATTTTAAATTTTAATACAGCAACATTTTTTCTTTGTGTTGGCAACAATTTTTAATTGTAAAAATTGACATTTATTCTTCAAATTAAATTCAAAGTCGACCATCTGTGAACGTGTTTTATTCAACTGCCGAAACTCTTGATTTTAGGTCTGAAAAAGTTGTGATTTGTGCTGTTTAATGTGTTTATCTCATAAGGTGTACGATAAATTATAAAAATACAGTGAAGGTAAGTGAGAATCCGTTATTAAACTTCAAAAAATTGTTAAAATCACAGTATGTGTAAATTTATTGTATAAAAGGGGTCAATAGAATCTATTGAAGGGTGAATAGAACTCTAGTATGGGTTTAATGGAAACCTAGTAGGGAATAATAGAAACGACTAATGTTTGAATAGCAACTAATGAGGGGTCAATAGAGATAAATGAATAGGGTTGTCAAAAACTGTTAATTGAACTTAATACTACTAATAATGTATGGAGCTGTAAATTTAATGATTGATAAATAAATAATATTTTTAACGTGATTATTTACATTTACAGATACATACCGCCGTATTCAACATGCCGCGTGTATATAAACCCGATCCTACAAAAAAAAGGTATAAAAAATATAACATGGAGATCATAAAAAAAGCTGTGGAAGAGTATGCATCATCCCGAAATGTAAAATTAGAAGAAGTTGCAAAAAAATATGGTATACACAAATCGGTGTTATATCGTCATTGTACGCGGGATATGAAGCAACATGGAGGCCAAAGAGCTCTATCCGATGAAACTGATATAAACCAACCGTTTATACTTACATGTTTTTAAATTTGTTATTTTCTTTAATTCAAATAAAATACGAATAAGAAGTATACATTGTTTAATTTATTGAAAAGAGATAACATTCCGTAAAAATAAAGTCGTTTAAAATACAAACATACCTAATTATTTATGTTAACAAAAACACATAAATAGTTTAAATCACAAATTTTGAATTTCATTTACCATTTACATACCAAAATAATTTTTAAATACACGACCTTTCATTTTTGCATGTTGGTTAAGTAATTTTTGGCAGCCCTAACAGTTTTTCCATTCACCCCTTTATGCATTTCTATTGACCCCAGTCGTCGGGTGAATAGAAATGATACATAATTTATTAAAAATCTGAAAAACATTTGCTTATAGTTAACCAAATATTGTTTTAGCTGTTTCTTTGTGATACCGGACATGATATTAAAATAACCTGTGGTTTAAAAAAAAAGGAATAGACAACAAATTCTTAAGACAAAGTTGAAAATCATTGCTATTCACCCCGTTTTACGGTAAATAATGAAAGTTAATGTAAAACAAACATATTTTATTGTAAATAATAATGATTTATTGTTTCAAAATAATGATAAACTTTATAGCAAAAAGTTTTCCAAATATGAAACAAGAAGTCCAACTACAAGCTAAAAGTCCAAAAACATTTATCATTTAATGATATGCAGGGAAAAAATCACAACGGAAGATGTTTTTAACACAATTCACGTAGTATATTATAAGCATACTGAATATTTAAAACTAACAAGGCCTTGTCTTGACAAAACAGGATACAGTGGCATCAACCACAGTTCTTCTTAAAGTTATCAATAATTATTATAAGAAAGGATTTATTTCACTCGATTTGAAATATTTTGCGATGGCAACCCCATTAAGATAGAAATTTTTTACCTTAGATATGTAAGTGGATACTATCAAACGTGATTAATAGACATTGTATTTGCGTTCATTTATCACTAACTAGCTTTTGCCGCGACTTCGTCCGCGTGGAATAGTGACTTCCGGCAGATTTTTGGTTCTTCCCACATAGTTCCAGTTCTTGCAGGGTTTTCGGAATGGTCGAGTTCCCGTAGAATTTTCAGGATAAAACCTATGTTTTTTTTATTCACAATGAAGTACTCTTAACCAACAACATATTTATTTGTTTATTTGAATAAAGATTAATATTATTATGTTGATACAACTTAAACAAATTATTTCGACCAAATTAGGTACCATAAAAACGGTTTTTGTGAGTTAATCTTAAAAGATAGACATATACTGTCGCGGACTGTTTTTTAGATCATTAAAAGAGCTATTATTCTTTAATACATATTTTTTGTGTATCTTGAACCATTTTCACGCCACACGCAACGGAAGGCTTCAAAGATGGAATAATTTCTCCCGTTTTTTACTAAAAATATTTGAAAATAAATTCTGTCCATTCTTTTAACTTTTAAAACATTTTGTGTCACAAATAATATTGATAACGTTACCAGCTTCAGAAAAAAGTTATTTATATATTTTATTAATGAAAGGACAGCCCTACGCTCCCTTTACTGTATTTCACATAGTGCATCTTTCCTAATTTTTAAATAGCCTGTTCTAATTGACCCCAACATCTTTACCGAAAAACTTCCGATGACGTTAATAAATTATAAATTGTGATAAAATGTAATTTAAGACTTCAAAAGTTTTCAACTGTACTTATTTTATTCATATTACATAATTTACAAAATACTTAATAATTATTTCGATGTAAAAATAATCACAGAAACAAAATAATTCTATAAAGTTACTTCACTAGATAGTAAATCAAACTCTCAGTTTTAGAAATTGTTTTGGCAATTTACTTTAAAGCTCTCTATAAAATAAATAGTCCTAAGTATAAAATACATTTTTTATTTTATAGGCAATGATTTACAGATAATCACTATTATTCAAATCCTTATTTTTCTCTATTCACTTCGTTTGACAAGTGACAGTACCTACTTATGTCAGTTGTCATGGTCATCATGTTAGTGAAAAATAAATTACGAAATTATTGCTGATCTATCAATTTATACAATCCAGAATTTATTATTAATATCAAATATTCATACGTGGCTGTGTGCTTATATTAAATCACTATCATATCCGTTTAAAGTATTATCTGCATTTACAAGTTTAAAAATGGTTTGCGTTCCTTGTTTTATCATTCCGCTTCTTTTATTTATATGGCATAAGTTCATTCAGCCTTACGTTCTGAGATTTTGGAACCCATGGGCTGTTAAGGACGCTGACGGGAACGAAAAGACTGAATTCCCGTTTAAATGTGAAGGAGGAGTTTGTATGTTCAGCAAAAAAAACAAGTCCACTATTGAAGCGAAGCCCGAGGAGACAGAAGAAACGAAGGGTTTGAATCAACGTCTTAAATCTGAATAGAACTAGAGCAATTTCTTCTAGATAGTTCTAATTAAATTGCCAACATTGACCTTGAGTTACAATCTCAGTCGGTAAACATTTAAAGGGTTGCGCATTTATTTATTTTAAATAAAACACTGTTACTGGAATATTGACTTTTATTACACTTCAATTGATTTCACATGTGGCATATTGATGAGCATATCATAATCACTCAATTAGTCATGTCACATGAAATAATTAAACATAAAAAATTAAAAATGTCTAGCAATTAAACTATTAAGTATTGTATAAACATCATTTACTTTGTTATGAGTGGAAGAGTGGATTTATTTGTTCTTTCATATGGGGATTACAGTTTTATGATCAGTTTGCATCAAGAAACTAAATAATTCTGTCTTTTTAGCTTGATGAAGGAAACTATGATAAAATATCAAAACCGCGACTACAACTGTGTTAGCCACCAAGAAAATCAATTAATTTCATCACAAATGACTTCATAACAATAATCAGATGTAGGAATTTAACAATTAATAGCACTCAGTGAATTTATAATCAATTAATTTGGTCTCCAGCCAATACGAGTCATGTTGAATCCTTAGTATAACACTTAAAACTAATCCTGCGTCTAAAATTATTGGCTTAACAGTAAAAAAATAGCTGAATAAGGAACATTTATAACACAAACTAAATTTTATTTTACAAAAATATCTGAAAGTATGTTATGTTATAGATGCACCTTAGTAGCGAGTTTTTCAGGCATGCGTAGTGCATTACCTTGATGGCATTAATGTAACCGTCGGTAAATTTCTATTACATGGTGTACATTTATAGGAATTACTTAACATTCTTCAATTCAACTTCAAAGACTAATGTGGAGTTCGGTGGGATGGTTGGCGGAGAACCTTTGGCGCCGTACCTGTTGATAAAAACAAATTTAAACATGTATTATTTATGTTCGTTTCTATAATGAGCAATCATTTTTATGTCTTAGTGATCTTCGCTTAGAATTCTTGTAAAAATTTGATGAAAAATACATATTAAACAGTTGTTTGAGGAATATACATAACAAAATTTTAGTGAAAAATTAATAATTTGGAATTCAATTTGTAGTTTTTTTGACCAAATCAATGTAACCATCCAAAAAAACTCTTTTTTTGGTACAAAAAATTAAATGTATTTGTATATTAAACTTACGCCATAGGTGGTGGGCATACAATCTTCCTCTTGCCTCCTACTTTCATACCAGCGACACCAACATCCCAGCCCGAGATCACTTCCTTAGCTCCGAGCTTGAATCTGAATCCTGGTCCCTTTTGGCAGTTGTCAAACATTTTGTTGTTCTGTTTCAATCTACCCTCGTAATAAACCTAAATAAAAAGACATATTATATTCCCTATTGCAAAACATTAGAAATTTATGAAGTATTGATGGCTTGAAAACTAGTTTTTTTATAATTGTTGACATAACCTCTTATAAACAAAAATATGGGATAAAAGTTACAATCCAATTAAGAGAAATTGGATTCAATTCAGAGGCGGCGTAAGCACATTCTTTTAAGACCTTTCATATAATACAAAAGTTTCGCAAGCAAATGTTTAAAAACTATAATTTTCCAGATTCACTTAACCTATTTTACCATTTTTACATTGAAACAAACTTTCTATTAATTCTATACTATTCTATTAATTCTATTCTATTAATTCTATTCTATTAATTCTATACTATTAATTGTCTGCCTGCGATTTGGATCAGGAAAATGATTGGATGGAAAAATTTTACCTGTATTTTATTATTGTTAAAACTACTTCCGACGTTTCGATTACTTTTCAACAACTGTTATCACAGGTAGATAAGATGGGCAGAAAATAGTAGTTTCTTTTAAATGAATACTTGCGAAATTCTTAGACAACATTAAGCAAATGCTAACTTGGGTTGCTATATTGGTATTTCGGTGCTGGTCATTCTAATTTTACTTACCATAACAACTTTTCCTGGCTTAGCGACTGGTCCCGAGCCTACTTTAATGTCTTCTATAAACACTCCACCACTTAAAGATTTTTTTTCTTTCTTTTCCCCTTCTTGAACATCCTTTTTCACCTCTTTTTTCTTTTCCGCTTTGTTTTCCTTCGGTTCGGGCTTGGCTTTCTAAATAAAAATATTTTTATGTAAATAAACACAAGTATAAAAAAAAATAAAAAATAAATGATAGCTTAAATATATATACGTAAACATATTTAACTAGGATTTTATATTTACATACATATATAAAAATAAATAAAAACAAAATTCTAAGAAAAATAAGACAACAAAGTAAGAATGTTGTAAAGTAATGAACCCATGAGATAGGCATGCTGAAAACTGAAAAAAAAACCTAAAACATGGACAAAATAATGCTTGATGGAGGCATTTTCCTAACAATTATAAAATGGGAATAACAATGGGGAATCAATAGTAGACAAGGCAAACTATATTTTTTTTAATATCAAACTGTATTACAGTACATAATAAATACAATAATTGAGATCAGAGACGCATGTTTTAAGATAAGTACAATATTCATAGAGATCACTTATTAAAACACACAAATAACGCGAAGCACTTGCACTAATTAGTGAGTATAAATGCTACACGATCAGCTGTTGCGAGCCTAGCCAAGCCAAGCTCTGCCGACTGCCTTTCACTTTACCCCTACTCCTCGGCCGGCTGTAATGCGACATGCGATATATGGGCGAAAAATTTGAGGCGATATAAAGTTTCATTTCAATAAATAATAATTACCTTTGCTTTTTCCACACCATTGGCCACTTGCGGTTCTTTTTGCACCGTCATTTTCTTCTTGAGACGTCTCCTAGCCGACTTGCTAAGTTTCGACTGGTCTACTTTGCTATCAACGCTTGTGTCGAGTGTTGTGTCAGCTTTTTCGGATGAATCATCCTTTTCATCATCCTCATCATCATCTTCGTCTTCATCTTCATCATCTTCATCGTCATCATCATCGTCATCTTCCTCACTTCAAGAAAATCAATTGACATATTACTAGTCATGAAAATTTTGGGGTAAAAGCAATAAGTGCAATAATTTTCCCAAAAATAGGGTTGATATCAGGCAGGCGGTCATAAAAAACGATTAGCCAAAACAATTTATGTAAGACAGACCCTGGTTAAAGCTGAGAAATTGCCAGTAAGAAGGAGCAATAAGTGCAATACTTATATACAGTGTAAACTCTATATTACGACACTGAAGGGACTGTGCATTTTATGGCGTTATAGAGTTGTCGTTAAATGATTTCGACGCTTTAGAGAGTTTGTCTTTAAATCGAGTAATGTTACATGGCGTTTACACTGTATTTCGTGATATAGATGTGTGATAAGTGATTATAGACTTAATAAATGTATTTTTCTCATACCTGACGTCAAGTGAGCTGTTAACTTTGAAGGATTCATCATTTTCATCTGTATCTATGTCCTCTCCTTCCAGAAACTTCTGTAATTCATTTTCTTCATCGTCCGAGTCCGAGCTATCAACCTCTTCTTTCTTGGCAATTCTTTTATCTGGCTGTAAATATATAAAAAATACATATTTAAATACATTTGAAACATTATTTAGATATTTTGATAACACATGTTTCCTTGGGGGTGGCCTATGTCCTGCAGTGGATGTCTTTTGGCTGATGATGATGATGTTTTAAGAACAATATTCTATAACTTAGTTAAACATGAAGAAGTAATCAACTTTCAAAAACTAGACAATATAAAATTTACCATTTTTTTATTATATTTTAATGTAGAACTAATGTTTCAGATCAAAAAATAAGTATAGACTTATTTAAATCAGATCAGTTAAGTATTATTCAGTTTTTTTTAAATCAAATGAGTATGAATTTCAAACATATGGCTACATTAAAAATTTGTATGGAGAATAATAAGTGGTAAATTCTTAACAGAGTTAGATTATTACAGTCAATAAATGTTCATTGAAATTACATATTTAAAAGGTTTTATTTAGCTCACCCTGTTTGTTTTATTTATTCTTTATTTTTTTTGTCATTTTTCTTGGGTCATTTAATATATAAACTGAACTAACCTTAGCCTTCTTGCTAACGGCTCCCTCGGTACCGTTCTCAAGTTTCCGTTTATTAGCTTGAGGAGCCTCCTCGTCTTCTACTTCCTCTTCCTCAGCCTCCTCATCCGATTCCTCATCTTCAAACTCGGGATCCAAGTATCCAGTTAGATGGACATTACATTTACCTACAACACACAAAGTTACATATTTTTAGTGTTTTCAACATTTATAAACTGCCAGTAATATTAAAATATAAATCAAAAAAGTTTTCATATATTTATAAAAAAAAAATAACCATTTGTCAAGAAGGAAAGCGAGTCTCCGGCTTTGAAGTAAAGATCAAGCGGGACTTGTATGCATCTGTTCTTCTGTAAGGTGCAGACAAGGAAGTTCTTGCCGTCAACCACAACCATGACCTGGCAAGGATCATTGTCACCGGTGGAAATATCCATTGCTGCTTGTGATATATGGAACGGTTTACCCACCACTTGAGTGTACCGTTTGTTTGGCTCCATTATTAATCCTGTAAAACAATTAGCACGATTAAGAAAACGATTTCACATGTTCGGTGATAAATAACATTAAACTTATAGTTAGTTCATCTTAAAGGATAGTAATTTAAATTAAACGAGAATATAAAGAACGAATCGGTTTAAGAAAAAGTATTGTTAACAAAATGAAATGTTCGTTACATTTTGTAAGTTCAAACCACATAAAAAAAGTAGCGTGGATTTGTCTACACAATGTAGGATGTTCTTATAAAATGCTTTTAGTATGGCATTTGGTACTTTATTTTTAAACAAATTAATAAACAGACAAAATTGAATATAAATTAAAGAAAACTGAAACATATTTCTGATGAGGGCACACGTGGTAATACCACGGTTACCGGCAACTTACCCCAAAACATTTTGGCGGTTTATAGAAAAACTAATTCTACAAATATACTTAATATGTCGAGATTTTGAGTGACGCTCTTGTAAATCTTGTTTTAAAACTGATCACGATTTCTTAAAGATCAACCACTCTTTAATTGGGCGCTAAAAGCACACTTCGCAACGGCCCGACACCGCACCATAAAATAAAAGACAAGTTAAAAGCAGCGCCACCATGCCGAGTTCAAATATTCATTAGATTATCTACACTATCAACTTTATATTAAATAAATATTTTTTAGATATAATTATAAAACAGAATTAAATTAATTACTTCATTTTTAATAACAGTTATTATTAATAATAAAATTATTATTTATACTCATTATTTTCTTTATACTTTTAAATAATTGCAAATAATTAATATTTATTTATTTGTGACTATTACATCATATTACAATTACAAAGAGATAATTATATTAGAAATATTAAATCTGTAATATTACTAAATATTTCTTACTGTTTGAAAAAGTTTCATAATGTATATATTATTTTAGTATAGTCTGTGTTGGAATCCTTATTATTATTTAGCAGTCTGTCAAACACATCCATCTCTTTTCTGTTAACTGTCAAACGACGGATACACAGTTTTCACAATGGTAAAGATATTTTTATATATAAATCTTAATTTACCTCTTCCATCATGAATCTTAAAACCTCTATAAACTTAATATCTGTCCTTATTATTATGTTTTACTCCAAAATGGATGTATTTTATATCTTCCACATTAATTTTTACAGGGTCGTGTCAGGACTAAAACCGTAAAGAAAGCAGCCAAAATCATTATTGAGAAGTATTATACAAGGCTTACTCTTGATTTTGACACAAACAAGAGAATATGTGAGGAAATCGCAATTATTCCAACCAAACCTCTTCGTAACAAAATTGCCGGGTTAGTACATTCATACATACATGTTTTTTAATTAATTTGTCTATAACTTTGTGACTCACTATATTTAATAACTATAAAATCCATTCATTTGGAAAATAAATTTAATAAATATAAATAAATATTATTAAATTTTAATATTAAATTTTCAATAATAAATATTTTTATTTACATTATACAGGGTGACTGGTGAATTACTATCAATATTTAAGGACGTGGTAGTTGACGATCATATATGACAAAATAAAAATTAATATAACATAAATATTAATAAACTTCTGAGTAAAGTTAACCTAAAGTTATGTAATTAATTACGCATCGTGTGAACACCCTACAGATTAGGTATACACTGACACTCACACATACGCGTGTCGTGACGTAGTGTTGTATCAGCACGCCCCCGCACGCGTCCACACTTGAACACTTGGAACGTGTCAACACTTTATTTATTTATACGGAAATTTGGTCAAAAATTAAGTACCTATTTTTTTTACATAATTCGAATGAGAATCATGTACCGAGTATGCTCCTTAAATATTGATAGTAATTCACCAGTCACCCTGTATATTTTTTTTTTTTTTTTTTTTTTTTTTTTTTTTTTTTTTTTTTTTTGATGACGTAGTGGAAACTCTTTTTACGAGTCCAGTCACCCTGTATAAAGAAATATATAACCTAAACAATATTATTAAAAATGTTGAGTTATATATTATGCGTAAATAATTTGCAAAAAGTGAAATAATTTAATTAAAATTGAGATCACACACATTGAAAGAAAACTTGGACATAGATTTTAAATCTTTAATACTAAGCTAATAAACCAAGCTAACAACACTAATTCCCAATAAATATTTATTAACTATTAACATTCACAGGTTTGCCACCCACTTAATGAGACGTCTCAGACATTCCCAAGTCCGAGGAATCTCAATCAAGCTTCAAGAAGAAGAACGTGAACGAAGAGACAATTATGTTCCCGAGGTCTCCGCCTTGGAACATGACATCATCGAAGTTGATCCCGACACCAAGGAGATGTTGAAGATGCTAGACTTCAACAACATCAACGGTCTTCAACTAACGCAGCCCGCTACCCAGGGTGGCTACGGTGGCAGACGTAATTAAGGATAATAAAAATTAACATGTATACACTGTTTTACTTATCAACCCTAATAAAAATAAACATGTTTTAAAATTATCTGATTTGTATGAAATTTACTTGTCAAAGTATTGAATAAAAAACGATAATATTGGATAGTGTGTGATGAAAAAAAAATTTTTATGTGGAGATCAGATATATTTGAGAAATAGAGGTCATTGACCTCAAAAATATTTTTTAGAACAATTTGTGAACTTTTTTGTTTTTATAAATTAAATAATACCTACATAAATATTGTCATCTTTAAAAGTATCACAATTAACCCTTTAAAAATATATATTTTGTATGTATGTAGTTAATAGATCCAAAAATATAATTTTTATTCTAGTACGTGTATCCGAACGAAATGACTGTATCGTGTTTGTGGTGTTTCGCTTGCTTGATGTCACAGAGTACAAAACTACAACACTGAATCTTGATGTTTTCTTACTCGTTCGCTCCTAGTCAGTGTATTGGATAAATCTCTTTCGATTACGTTCGGGAGTATCTCGCTGTAACAAATGTGGATATGAACTATGCTTAGCTTCTATGAATTAAAAGACTTATTTTAATCAGTTATTATATGATTATAATTATTATGAATAATGGAATGTACCCATTTGTTAGATAACGTCAAGTTGGATAGCGATCTTTTCGGTGAGGATATAACGATCACAAAGAATTTCAACTGTTCAGGTAACTATATATTCATCTTACATTATGCATAACATCGAGCCGATACTTTATAATAGTATTAAATGCGACGTATTATACCGGGAGGTTAGTTTGAAAAATCAATACATCGAACTAAAATAATCAGCTGTTCATGAGGCGCGGAGCGGGAGGGGGCGCGGCATGGGTGACCGTGAAGTGGCTTCCGTTGCCTTAAATTATTTGACACTGTTATTACAATATTTGGTGAATTAATCTCATATTAGTGAGAATGTTACAAATTAATACTACATTTCATTGATGCTAACAACAATTATAAATCGACGCCCCTAATCCATACGATCACTCGATATATAATGACTCACGGCAAAACATTAGCTTAGATTTATTTTTGCGTAGTAAATTTACTCTCTGACGTCATCAGTTATTGAAAGTAGAATTTAGTTTGGTATTAGAAATGTAAAACTAATATTTTTTCTGTACATTTCGATCACAACTTGTATACATGAATGCAAACAAAGTTGATTAACATGCATGCATAAAAAGAATAATAAATATCACACAATTTGAAAGATATTAACACTCATATAAATATATATTTTCCATAGAATGTCATATCAAGGAACAGAATTGGCTTTGCCTGCATTGCGGGATCGTCAACTGTGGCCGGTATGCCAACGGGCACGCAAAACTACACGCAGAATCATCTGACCACCAGTTGTGCATGAGCTGCGACGTATTTTCCGTTTACTGGTAACAACTACATATTAAAACAATATACCCTTTGTAAAATTAAAAAAAAAAACACAACTTAAACGTGTTCCTCACGGTTAATTGCTTTGTAGAGTATTTGATACTTAAATAATTTTGTTCAATACATCTTTTATGCGTTAATAATTACTCAAGGTTGTAAAACATATTTGTGAACTCAATTATTCTCTATTAGCCAACTAATATGATAGTTAATACAATCTAGCCATATATATGTATTATTTGACTTAATATTCATATATTTTAATACACCAATTTTATATTACAGTTACAAATGTGATGACTATGTTTCAAATGATGTAGAACATCTAACAATAGACAAAATAAGGCAGCATATAATGCGAGCAACAGATGGTAATGTTAATGAAAACGAAAAGGAAATCACAAAAGATTGTTCGGAACAAGAAAGTCATTTAGAGGATACAAGTGAAAAGTCATTGTCACCTATTACCGAAGAAAACTCTCATTCAGAAATACAGGTGGCTACATGTGAGATCTCATCTGAACCGAGTGCCTCGGAGAATGTTCAGAGCAAAAAAACAATTAAGGTAACATACAAAAGTATATGTGATTTCTATATTAAGACTTATTAAGGGTCAATTTATATATTATATATAGTAGTATATATTTTTATTGCTTAAAAAGTACTTGATTTATATTTTATATATGTTAAAAGACACTACATATATGTTATTATTAGTTTAGCAATTATTCAAAAACTTTGTATTTCAAGTTCTTGAACATATAATGTTCTTGTTTTGTTAAATTATTATTTTTTGAATATCAATAGCTTTCATATTTTTACATATAAGTAAATATAAAAACTAAATTTCCAGAACCCAGATGAACCAGTTAGAAGTTTGAGACCGCGGTCTCGTAAAAGATCTCATTCGGAAGATAGTTTAGCTGAAAATTCATCGGTACCAACGAAGAGCAAACAGAAAGGTTTACCGATAAATGGGAAGAGTCAGAAGGATAAGAAAATTGTAGGTTTAAAAAATTTAGGCAACACATGCTTCATGAACGCTGTGCTGCAGAGTCTTAATAATATACAAGAATTTAGTTACTACTTTAGTCAACTGCCTTCTTTGGAAATGAAGACTAATGGAAGGAAGGTTTATCATTCGAGGAGTTACACGAGACAGGAGATGCATGATGTTGTTATGGCTGAGGAACTTAGAAAGGTAACATTTATCATTAGGGCCCGGATAGATATGTATTAAAAAATCGAAAATATGTACATAATATATGGATGATTGTGACATTTTCTTGTAAAATATGGACTTAACTTTGAAAAATAGTATAATAGGGAAAAATATGGAAAATAAAAGTTGGTTTTTCACAGTCTGAATATGACAATCCATGTAAAAAACACCACATTCTAGACCGAAATTCACGTAAATTAAAAATATGTATTTATATATTAATCCAGGTTCTACTTATCTATAATATATAAAGTTTTCATGTCACAATGTTAGTAACTATACTCCTCTGTAATGGCTTTACCGATTTTACTAAAATTTTATATGTTTATTCAGTATGTCTGAGAATCAGCTATAATTTTTTTGTATAACCCTAACTGATAAGGGTTGTTCATCCCTGAAATATTTTTTAAAATATAGAATGATATTAAACTTTATTGTCAAATAAAACAGTATTATTTATATCTACAATTAATGTTACAACAAAATTTAACTAATATGTACAACACATTTAAATTTCTTAACACATTTAAATTTCTTTTTTCTATAACTACCAACCATTTGAATAAATATGAACAAATATATATATATATATATAAGTATAATAGATAACTAATCATTCTTTTAATATATTTGCAGGTATTAATAAATCTCAACACGGGTGGCTGTGGTTCTAAAGCCGCTATATCTCCTGAATGTCTGTTCCTGGTCATATGGAAGGTAGTTCCTCGTTTCCGTGGCTACCAGCAACAAGATGCACATGAATTCCTTCGATACATGCTTGACAGGTGTGAAATATTAATATGTTAATATATAAGAGATAGTTGTGTTAGTTGCACTATTTATAACTCGAGAACAGCTGTTATATATAGTTGAAAATTGATTGAGAGATAGCTTAGAACAAGGGAAATGATATAGGATCATTTTCATTCTATTGAAGAAGAAAAAAAAATATAATTTCATCCAATCCAAAATTTTCTTTTCTACTGTGTTTAAGGAGGAATAGAGTTAGCCTGATCAGCTACGTGTTTTAATTCTGAAACTAACGCAGACGAAGTCGCGTTCAAAAACAAGTATGTTATAAGAAAGCCTAACAAATTAATTTTTATGTTGTGGCCACAATTTACTTTAATTGTTATTAAATAGTTTAATTAAGTTTGTGTATATTTAATTAATAGTTTTCTTGACATTTAATTTTAATATTTATTTTCACTAATAACACATCAATGAAGTGTCTTCTTAAGAAATACTAAGTATGTGTTATTTACACAAACTTAGTACATATATTTATTTAGGTCTTTATTTCCTTATTAGTCAATAAGCTGGAATGTAAATAAATAAAGTACTAGGTATACAGGGTGACTGGTGAATTACTATCGATATTTGAGGACGTGATATTTGACGATCATATATGACGAAATAAAAATTAATATAACATAAATATTAATAAACTTCTAAGTAAAGTTAACCAAAAGTTATGTAATTAATTACGCATCGTATGAACACCCTACAGATTAGGTGTACACACACACTCACACAGACGCGGCGGGGGCGTGGTTTTGTATCAGCACGCCGCCGCACGCTTCCACACTTGGAACACTTGGAACGTGTCAACACTTTATTTATTTATACGGAAATTTGGTCAAAAATTAAGTACCTATTTTTTTACATAATTCGAATGAGAATCATGTACCGAGTATGCTCCTTAAATATTGATAGTAATTCACCAGTCACCCTGTATACTTTATAGGAAATAAATGTATTTTCATTGTTAGAATTTTGTACAATATCGAATTATGAATTAAATGATTTATATATACTATTGAGGTTACATGAATGAGTTTACTATATTTAAATGAAATTAATATTTTTCGGATATACTACGTGAATTATTTTTGTTACAAACTACATACTCCCAGCGTTTCGGCTACTTTTCAGCTACCATGATCACGGGCAGACGAAATCTTAAGAGAGTTATTATATTTTTTATTTGCAATGATTTGCATAAGCATACTTATTGTTCAGTAAATGCATATATCTGCATATATAGTATGCATGCATATTTTGTCTCAGCTGATGTATATATTATTATCTTTACAGACTTCACACGGAACTCCAGCAGTTAGTACCTGATCGGCCTGAAGGTGTTCGGGCCCCGGCATCTATTGTGACCGCTGTGTTCGGTGGAACATTACAGAGCGAGGTTTATATGTTATATCTATACTAATATTATAAAGAGGAAAGGTTTGATTTTTTGTTTGTTAGTCTCGAATAGGGTTCGAAACTACTGTATCGATTTGAAAAATTCTTTCACCGTTGGAAAGCTATACTATCCCGGAGTGACATAGGCTATATTTAGTTTAAAAAACAATAGGATTCCTTACCAAAATTCCGATAATATAAAAAATATACCAAAAAACTTTCTTTAATCGCGAACGCTCCAAAAACGATTGAAAATACAGGGTGACTGGTGAATTACTATCAATATTTAAGGACGTGATATTTGACGATCATATATGACAAAATAAAAATTAATATAACATAAATATTAATAAACTTCTAAGTAAAGTTAACCAAAAGTTATGTAATTAATTACGCATCGTGTGAACACCCTACAGATTAGGTATACACACACACTCACACATACGCGTGTTGCGGCGTGGTGTTGTATCGGCACGCCGCCGCACGCGTCCACACTTGGAACACTTGGAACGTGTCAACACTTTATTTATTTATACGGAAATTTTGTAAAAAATTAAGTGCCTATTTTTTTTACATAATTCGAATGAGAATCATGTACCGAGTACTCTCCTTAAATATTGATAGTAATTCACCAGTCACCCTGTATAACAAAGTTATGTACTACAATTTTGTATAACTTATCATTATCTACAAAGAACGTCGCGACATCATATTTCTAGCTATTATAGTTTTGTCACAATAAGGGATTTTTTTTTAATAAAAATATTAATTGAAATATCACTGCTTAGTATTAAGCCTTTTCAAAACAAACGATTTATTATTTAAGATCGTTTCAAAACCTTTATATAACTTTTTGAAATATTAGATTTTGACATTCCATTCAAAAGATATCACGAGTTAAAAAAAATTAAAAATATCCGCTCGGCGGCTAACTATGCGTTGTAGAGTTGTAGACGTCACTTGGGTACGGAGATAAGGGAGGGAGGTTAAGATTACGAAATAATATCTAAGAAATAAATTTCCTATTTTTTTTATTTGACGCCTAAAATTGTGAATATTTGTGTAAATGTCATGTTTACGGGCCGTGCGAAGCCGCTATATGTATAATAACATCCATTACAACGTTCACAGTTTTTCTGAAATGTATTTAGCATCAGCATTGCACCCGTGCGAAACCGGGCCGGGTCGCTAGTATACTGTAGTCTATATTAGAAGTATTATATATATGTATATGTTTAGTAAGTGTGTATTATATTGTGATTGTATTTATTTTACAAATGACATATATTAAGTATGAATAATAAATATGAGAATAATTCCCAAAGAGAGTTGATGTCAGGCCGGTCGTAAAAACCATTAGCCAAAACTATTCACAACATGTAAGGCAGATTCTGGCTAAAGGAAATTGCCAGGACGAAGAAGAATAAATATGAGAATATAATTAGCAAATGTATAATACATAAATATAAACTGATACAATTTTTAATGAATAAAACTTTTGTAGGAAAATCTTATCATCTCATATATATAATGTTTTTATATATAACAGGTCCGTTGTCTTGCTTGTGGTACCGAGAGCAAGAAGTTTGATCCGTTCCTGGATCTCTCTTTGGAGTTACCAGAGACTGGTCGACACGACGCGCCCGTCTCTTTAGCTGACTGTTTGGCCAGTTTTGTACAGGTGAATTATAATATACAGTAAAATTATAGAAAATTATTAAAATATGTATTGTGCTATTTTTCTCATTCTACCCAAGATTTGTACAAATTACGGTCAAAAAATTAAAATTTTTGAAAGTGCAAAACTACAGGGTGACTGGTGAATTACTATCAATATTTAAGGAGAATACTCGGTACATGATTCTCATTCGAATTATGTAAAAAAAATAGGCACTTAATTTTTGACAAAATTTCCGTATAAATAAATAAAGTGTTGACACGTTCCAAGTGTTCCAAGTGTGGACGCGTGCGGCGGCGTGCTGATACAACACTACGCCGCCGCGCGCGTGTGTGTGAGTGTGTGTGTATACCTAATCTGTAGGGTGTTCACACGATGCGTAATTAATTACATAACTTTTGGTTAACTTTACTTAGAAGTTTATTAATATTTATGTTATATTAATTTTTATTTTGTCATATATGATCGTCAAATATCACGTCCTCAAGTATCGATAGTAATTCACCAGTCACCCTGTATAATCAACTACCCACATATATAAAAAATGTAAATTCAACTCAACTTTAACATATTTAAAAAAGAACTTACAAAGTATATTTTAAATAACAAATATTTAAAACTAGGACTATATGTTCAATCAATGCTTAATGTGGAAAAATGATTCTTAGTTAAGCATTATATTTGAAACTACTCATTGTCATTTAATTTTTGTTACAAGTGTGATGTTGAACTGTATATTCATAAATGTTTTGTTATAAATGTAATTCACATGTAAGTGATAGTGTCTTAATAGGAATAAAAATATCTTAAACCCCTAGTAACAAGACTAAATGATAAAAGCTAATATAAAATAATCAACCGACTTTATACTTGACATTATATTATTTAACATCACCCAGCAAGTATAACTAATACACAACATGAATAAAATCTATGTATATTTTATACAATTTTTTTTTATAAAGCCATCAAGGTTTATCTTCACCAGCTAGTTTCTAGATAGAAATAGATTCAAATCAAATCTGGAATACTCAAAATTAATATTAACCAGATTTTTTGTTTAAATTTATACATTCATGATGCATTATATATATGTAATAATTTTAAATGTTGGTTATATGTATCTTGTAGACTTGTATATATAATGTCAAAAATCCTTATATATTTATTTTCTCCTTTTGGTTATTTCTTTATAGAGTTAATAAAAACAATTATCAAAATACATACGTCTATAGGTATAGAAGTACTACATACATGTGTATCATTATATGAAAATATTTTTAATATTAACTTGAATGAAATTTTCGACTGAGAGTCGATTGTCTCGTATAATTGTTTTTTTTGTTCTATAAGTTATATTTGTCATAAGAATTAACTAATAATAAAAAAAGGTTTTATATAAATTAAAAACTATAAATTATTATTTAAATTACAGATCGAAGAGCTGGCTGACACAGAGAGATATTTCTGTAGCAGCTGTAAATGTAAACAGAAATCAACTAAACAGTTCTGGATCAGGCGGTTACCCAACGTACTGTGTCTACATCTGAAGAGATTCAGATGGCACAACTATTTCAGGTGAGGCTCTTAGATATGTTACATTCTATTCATGTATCAAAAGTAGATATAGTTACATTATTGTATAAGAAATGTTAAGAACAAAGGATAGCTTACCTCTTAAAAGAGATCTCTATTAGAAATTCTTTTGATAGAGGAAACTAAAAAAGAAAGGAGAAGGAAAAAAACTGAAATATTATATGTATGTCAAAGCATACAAACAAAATTGCAATAATTGAATATTTTGATGTCATACATATATAGATATACATTAAGAGTCAGTGGTGGCCTAGTGGTTAAAAGGCCCGCTTCTAATGCACGAGGGCGCGTTTTCGAATCTGGTAAATACCAATGTGATTTTTCCGAGTTATATGTACTTTCTAAGAGTATTTAGACATCACTGATTAATGCATTCCCAAAGAGGTTTGATGTCAGGCAGGCGGCCGGTAATAAAAACTATTAGCCAAAACTATTCACAACATGTAAGGCAGACCCTGGCTAAAGCTGGGAAATTATAACCATATAAATGTATACATATGACTGTGCCATTAAGTAAACTAAATAAACATAACATGTCAAAAGGTAAAAGTGAGAGATCTCTTTTACTGTGTATGTGTAATAAATACATACTTTGGATATGTAATAAAAGTTATTGAATGAGAAATTATAATATGTTGTGACTAAAATAACTTGTATTAAGCATATTTATGACACAATTACAATAAATAATTAATGAGAATGTGTTTATATTTCAGAACTAAAGTGGACACTTCCATCTCGTTCCCGCTAGTGTCTTTAGACATGTCGGGCTTCGTGTTACCCAACGTGCCCGACACCCGTCGCTCCGGGCGAGGCAGTCTGTTGTACGACCTGGCTGCTGTCATCGTACATCACGGCTCGGGGTACAGACACTAGAACCAGTATAACTTGACCCAGAAATCATATATGTACAGTAATACCCCGCTTTACGCGAGGGATACGTTCCGAAGAAAATCGCGTTAACTGAAATTCGCGTATATCGAGGTTTATGATTAAACACAGTCAAAATTTAATACACAAATATAAAAATCATTTTAATCAATCACTTTAATTCTAAGAACACTATACAATACATAGGTACTCCTATTTTTTACGAAAAAAACATGTATTGTCTTTTGGGTAGCGTTTTGCTTACGTTCGTGTAAAATACGTTAATAACACCAAGCACTGTTTTTAATCGTTTGACACACGGTCAAGACACGGTCATCATTATTGTCTATACTCTGCAATGTCCCAACCTGAATAAATTTTTGAAAATCGCGTTATAGTGAAACCGCGCACAACGGGGTCGCGTTAAGCGGGGTATTACTGTATATACATTATACAGGGTGACTGGTGAATTACTATCGATACTTGAGGACGTGATATTTAACGATCATATATGACAAAATAAAAATTAATATAACATAAATATTAATAATCTTCTAAGTAAAGTAAACCAAAAGTTATGTAATTAATTACGCATCGTGAGAACACCCTACAGATTAGGTATACACACACACACACACACACACACACACGCGTGCGACGGCGTGGTGTTCTATCAGCACGCCGCCGCACGCGTCCACACTTGGAACGTGTTCACTCTTTATTTATTTATACAGAAATTTGGTCAAAAATTAAGTACCTATTTTTTTTACATAATTCGAATGAGAATCATGTACCGAGTAATCTCCTTAAATATTGATAGTAATTCACCAGTCACCCTATATAATTCATTTCAATAGAAATTGGCAATTTTGTAAACAAAGCAACTGACCACGATTACTCCGTTCATACGTACAATGGAATATTAGTCCTGATAATAATTACATCTCAACGAACCCACCACTGTTTTTAACAATATTTTCATCATTTAACAACTGTGTATACTGTATATGTTTATTTTATAAAATTATTTTAAATATAATATTTATAATTATTTGTCCAATTGACACGATCATTTCTTACTCATCAAAGTTTATTTGTCGTGTACACAATAATTATACAATGAACTACTTTTTGTCCGTGACTTACTTTACTTTCAAACTTATAAATGTATAGCTGACTGGGGGAAATATATTTCTCCATAAGGCAGACAAGCCATTCTTGAACTATAAATGGTGTAACTGACACGACTTTCATTTTTAAATAGAGATACATATTTATAATTATTATCATTTAAACTTTGAACAAGTCACAAATATTAAAAAGATTTGATTATATAAAACACTGTAGTGTATTCAACAGGCTGTGATGAAAATTATGCATTTTTTCTGGTATTTAGCAGACGGAACTAAACATAGGTAACGCTAAAAAGTAGAAATTAAATATTTTTTTAAATCGTCAATGACCTCGGAACACGTATTGACGTCAATGGCCAAGCTTATCTTTGAGGTCCTGGGTTTCCCAAGGAACCAAGGATTTTTATTGCTTTAGGGATGCAAACTACTCTTATGTGTTCTCGTTTGCATTCTACATTTCTAGACTAATTAAAAAAGCTTACTAATTAATACTTAACAAAATATGAACAAATTGAAGTATTTTTTTTATACATATTTATAATTTAAAATAAAAATTAAGATTAAAGTATCTTGAAGAGTATTCCCATCACTAGGGGTATAGATAGCGTTGCCAGGTCGCCGAACCTAATAGCCGGACAGACCATCCAGTTTGGCCGGACATTTGGTTAAAAAAAGCCGGACACCCTATATTATTGAGGATTTTATGTTAGTATTAATAGGTACGACAATTTTTTTGTATGTAAAATCAAAACTTTTTGATTATTATCATAAATCTTGTTAATTTGTAGTGAAATAATAAATAAAATCGTATGCCAAATCAGTCTCAGATAGGTACTTTATTATAAATTTGCGAAATGTAAAAAGCCTAACAAAAGCCAGAGCAGACGGACACCGTTTATTTTGGCCGGACATGCAATCAAAAAGCCTAACTATGTCCGGCTTTATCCGGATGCCTGGCAACGCTAGGTATAGACAAGTCTTTGTCAATATCAGCTGACCACGTTTGTTTACAAGATTGCCAATTTCTATTGAAATGATTGCTTATGTAATAAATAAAGTACCCTAAATTTGAGTACGCCGACTTGCTACATATTGCTCCTTATTTATATTGTTATTATTTCTATCGTTACATATATCAAATTTATATTAGTCTATTAACATGGTTATGTTAGTTTTACAAAGAGACTAACATATATTTGTTATATAATGATTTGTATCATAATGTTCACAGAGCCGGGTCCGGTCATTACACGGCGTTTGCCATCAACGAAGATCAATGGTTTCACTTTAATGATCAAACTGTTCGTGCGACCGAGTCCTCGGCGGTCGCCTCCTGCAAGCCCTACATATTATTCTATATACGGAGAGAATTCACGTCGTGACAACAACCATTTTAAATTGAGCCCTGTGTTAAACGAATTTATTTATGTGCATAGTCCTTATATCGGCCAGTATATTAGATTTTGGCGTTTGTATCACGCTGTTTGATGCGTTCTTTAAGACGTGTGATTAAGACATCGCTTTGTTTTAATATTTTCAGTATGGAGTAAAAATTTTGGTGTTTTTTTTTATGAAAGCTTCGTCGCTGTCACAGCTTAAAGAAGAGCATTCGATTGGCTTGAAAGTGTTAAAAATTTTAGGACGTTGGAATCGTGAATTAATTATCCTTATTACACGTTTGTGTCGTCAAACTACATAGTTAATTTTTTTATTCATTAATCTTCAATATAACTGGATACTCGATACTCTCCGTGTGTAGTTCGGCGATGTGAACCAATACTAAGGGTAAAGAAATTAAGTTAACAGTTTTACCGTCAAGCTTAATGAAATTGAATTACTCGTATTTTTTTAATGTTTTTACAGAACCGAGCTGGTCTCATTGTTTCCTTTAACTACAATATAAATGTATTTAATAATGTCTGTGGAGTGTAAATGTCAAATCAAAGTAAACGATTCATATAACATTCCTGTTTTACAAACGTTGTGATGCTCGTGTGTAAATAGTTTGATACTTTCCGTGGTCTCCGTTGCAAGTATGTACCTTATAAAATGTTCTATTACAGGTTTATTTAAGTACTTCAATTACTGGAAGTTGATAGTGATTGAATTTAATAAATTCGCCATACATAATATGTTGTTGTTTTATTTTTATTTTCTACAGCAGTTCACGTATTTGAAGAATCTTTTCAAGCAGGATTTAGTCTCTGATTCGTAGTTGGTTTCGAATGATAGATGTAGGGAGGGAACGCTTCCAGTTATTGGTAAGTATTGCGTCCACGCCGCGGGTTTCATGAGCGGCATATTTGCTACGGAGAATTTGTTGGCGACACTTTTATTACTGTCAACGTCATTAGCTGTCACTTTGTTCACAGATGTCATTTCTTTGTCATATTCGTAAATTTCCGATGTTTTCTCCGTTCCGTCACCTATCCAATTGCCGTCCGGTTTTTCTAACGGTTCAGTTATAATCTCTAAATGCGGTTTAGGTTTGTTTACTTTTATCTGTGGTTTCTGAAGATAATTCGGCATTTCCTCCAACGAGCTTTTAGAATCTACGTCGTCTTTCGTAATTTTCTCTACGTTCGGTTCGTTTAATTCTGATATTTTTATTACTTTTTCTGTGACATCCGGATTAGTGACATCAGTTTCTAAGCTGCTAGAAACTATCGGTACTTCGATAATTTCGTTTATCGTAAACGTCTTATTGTCTATATTATTCTTAAGCCGTCTCTTTTCTCTGGGTGTCAGAGTATTGTTAGGCATTATTTGGCTATTATTTGATGTACACTCTTGTTCGGTCTCATTGTTGGTAGTTTCCATTTCTTGAACCCAATTGTTTCTCGGCATTTGTGGTGTGGCTGTTTTGTTATAAGTCTCACTAACGTTGGATGAGGATTTGTTGTTAGTTTCCACTACTTCAGTAACCGTTGGTAAAGTAGGACTTAGCGGTAAACATAGTTTAGGTATGTAAGTAGGTATGGGGGTAGCGAGTCTACGTACGCTGCCCACGCTAACATCTCTCGTAGGTTCTTCATCCTCAGTAACTGTACTACTTGAATCTATATCATTAATATTTATCAATCCATAATCAGGTCCACTTAATGCTCTTCTATTTTTCTCTGAAAATATCCAGATAGTCCGTTTCTCTCTGAAGCCGTTGCTGTATTGAACCAGATCGTCTGCACAGTATTTGTCATTTTTAATATCGTTTATATTGAAGGTATCATCATTTTCCAGCACGTAATCTTCATCAGACGAGGTGTCATATGGCGGATTGTTGTTGATTATAGTGAAACGTTGATCTTGATCGATCTTTGCACCATCAAATGAAGTATGGCAGTCGATACCATAAAATTCCGTACACATTTGATCGAATAATTCATTATATATATCATTGTTTTCATTTTGGATATGGCGTCTCCTTTCTCTAGCTTCTTTGTTTATTTTATAATTACTCTCTTGTTCCTCGTCATTGTAACACCACACGTGACTGTGATTGACGTCGGGTTGTTCGTTATCAGAATCCTCGTCAGATCTCAATTCCTTTATCTCTACAGAGGTTTGTTTACTTATATCGTCTGTACCAAAGTATAAACTCGGATAAACGACGTTTCGATTGAGATCTGCGAACAAAAATACTAGGTTACGATATTTTAAATATGTTCTTCATCCGTGCAAAGATGCAAACTATTTTCTGCAAGTATCGTATAATAACAAAAATACTATAATAGTTTTTGTTTATGGACTGATATTTTTAATATCTTTAAATGACAGTAGGTAAATGACATAAGAAAATTAATTTCAAATTTCATATTGACACGTCAGTGAGTGTTGCTGGATTACAAAATGTTTTACGAAACAACCGGTCGTTTAATTGACGCGATGTTCGGCTCGTCACTAGTGGCTTACACACGCCCCGCCTTCACGACCGCCTCCATTTATTTTAAGTCTTATTGTTTCTAGATCACTTTGTTTGAAGACTGTTTAGACTCTACGTATTAAAAAATCGTGCCAAGGATTTCTATAGGTCAAATAACAACAAATTAGATGAAAGACACAAAAATGAATTATAAACATGCTTATATCCGAATTACCCTGTTCCAATTTTATAGTTTATATATTGAGACAAAAGCTTAGTAATCTATCCATATTTACCCATGGCGTGTTATGTATAGGTATATCAATATCAAGAAATAACATTAAAGTTGAATTAAAAAAACATTTATGTACATACAATGCATCCTTAAAATACCGATCTACTCTATTTTTTTTAATAAATCCTAAACTTGAATTAACTTGACAGTTAATGGTAAATTTACCTCTACATTGAGATTCTTTGACAAAATTTTCAATTATATAAAAAACAATGAAATAGCTCTCATTAATTCATTTTGATTTCCCGAAAACCTAAAGGCACCTACCTACATACCTATAAGTCTTTCCAACAACTATGTACATTAATACCAATGTGATTCATGTTATAGTCCAAGATCCCAGAGCTCCCAGACGTCACTTATTTTCTGATGGACAAAATATATACGAGTGAGTAGTGGTGGGGTGTGCTATGATCATATGACTAGTTGCTACCTTGGCCAGACGGCCATTTTTCAGGTAGCAATTAATCAAGGTACATAGAAATACTGCTCACTTCACTTAAATTCTGATAGCTGATTTTAACATATATTTCACACAATATCGTTAAAAATCAGGATTCATTACTCCCAGACACATGCGGTCGGCGGTTTTACCTTACAGACGCTTCAAAGCTATTAAAAAAATTAATTAAGGTCACTTATTTTCTGATGCTTGATTTTTATATATGTTATTCAAACAATTATTTTAAAACGTTTTGCAAACGGACAGACCGATCCAAGGGGCCAAACATTCACCAGACCCAATTTTCATGTCGCTGAGAGTAGGGGCACGGGCATTATCCGTGCGCATAAGTGCGAGTGAGACAGACATGAGTGTCATTGCTTCTCTCCTTTTATTCGGTTTACTCTTACCCACTAGTCAATGTATCGCGTCTGTTGAGTGCGTCAGCTGTGTTGTGATTTATTAATACATATATGGTATGTGATATAAAGGAAAAATTTATGCAAAAAAATATGAAAAACTTCGATGCTACTAACTTACCACCTTGTAAAAGCGAACTTCGACAACAGTTTCGACGAGCTAACTATATTGCTAGTGTTTGGAACAATGCTAGTGCAAAAATGATTAATATTCTCAATCCCGAAAATTATGGCTGGACATTAGAAGATGATAAATGTCATTTTTATTGGTTTGATGGAGATCAATTGCCGGATTTTGTCAGTCAGTCCTTGGAGGAAGAATTAGGTAATTTATTTTAGCTTCTCATAATTTTGATGTCTCTTTAGTTTTCCAAATCTTAATTGGTTGGTTTGTTTTTACTTTTTTACAGCGAAAAAGCCCGAGGAAAATACTGATGAACAAGATGATGATTTAGATATTCAATATCAAGATAGGTTCGATGATGAATTACCTGACTTCAACGACGATGACAATGAAGATTAGAAGCCAGTCGAATATTTACAAATTAATCTTACAAACTTATGTAAAAAAATATTTGTCGATTTTTTGTAGTTTTTTAAGGTTCGTTACAAATAAATAATTATTTGAAAAGGTTGCTGTTATTTAATTAAATTATTAATACTTTGTAAACCTTTTGATATTTACTTTAAAAATTTAAAATTAACTTACTTAAAAAAATTTAAATTAATAAAACAGTTTGTAAGGTACAATTGTATAATTATTGCGGTCAGATGAGCACTTTTCTCAAAGTTAATCTTTGATTATTTACGTGATTTTCAAATAGAAGGAGAGAAGCAATGACACTCATGTCTGTCTCACTCGCACTTATGCGCACGGATAATGCCCGTGCCCCTACTCTCAGCGACATGAAAATTGGGTCTGGTGAATGTTTGGCCCCTTGGATCGGTCTGTCCGTTTGCAAAACGTTTTAAAATAATTGTTTGAATAACATATATAAAAATCAAGCATCAGAAAAATAAGTGACCTTAATTAATTTTTTTAATAGCTTTGAAGCGTCTGTAAGGTAAAACCGCCGACCGCATGTGTCTGGGAGTAATGAATCCTGATTTTTAACGATATTGTGTGAAATATATGTTAAAATCAGCTATCAGAATTTAAGTGAAGTGAGCAGTATTTCTATGTACCTTGATTAATTGCTACCTGAAAAATGGCCGTCTGGCCAAGGTAGCAACTAGTCATATGATCATAGCACACCCCACCACTACTCACTCGTATATATTTTGTCCATCAGAAAATAAGTGACGTCTGGGAGCTCTGGGATCTTCCTCTATTAAATATTTCGACGATCTTTATTACGCTTATTTCTGAAATTTACATTAAATTATCTACATCATGTATTAAAACGCTTAGATATTAGGTACCTACTATTAAGAATTTAACCGCATGTCATTTTCATTATTGGAAACGTTTTGCTACCTACATAAGTAATTAGTTTTCTATTTCATAACTCTAGTTCCTACCATCTCCACAAGTTTAATTATATTGTCGAGTACCTATATGAAGAGTTTTCAGTTTTTCATAAACTTTAAAGCTCATGTGCAAATACATAATAAATGTAAAACTTAAATGAAACTATTATTTTTCGGATTATTTATTATTTCAAAAACTACATACTCCCTACGTTTCAGTTACATCAACCGCGTTCACGGGAGGAGGTAAGAACATAACAAGAAAATAAAATATGAGTACCTACCTAATCCGAAAAATATTAGTTTCATTTAAATGAATACTCGCGAAAATCCTACATCTCATTATGAAAAACTTATTCTTTATTCTCTGTAAGGACTCTTCGTACATAAGTACGTAAATATGTATGTAGGTATGATAGGTAGAACTGTAGTTTGTAAATGTAAACTTCAGGTATCTAAAGTCACACAATTTACAGCTAGAGTCTTTTGTTCCTTATTTTGCTCTTTTGTAATTTTAAATATATATATTAGATTATATATGCTACTTAATTTTTAGCAAATAGCTAGGCCGAGTATGATATTGTAGGAAAATTTGAATTTTTTATTGTATTTTAATTCTAAACCTCATATAGATATGCATTATGGATATCTTTAGGCATTTAAGCTACAACAATTACACTCGCCATCAAACAATAGGAGTCTATTAAGCTATAGCTATATATCTTGAACTTAAAAATTGTTTTGTTGGTTTCTTAAGATATGGCCTTCGCCCGTGCAAAGACGTGCACAGAAAATTCTGCCAGTATCGTGTAGAATGCAAGACACACGATCCAGGATTAAAAGAACTTTAAAATTAAACTGAGGATTTATATTTCGTCAGCACTATCTTTAGGAAAATATGAAGTTGTCAAAACAAGTCAATCAGAATACAAGAGAATAGAGATGTTTTTTCATATGAATACTTACGGTTAAATATATTAGTGCGACGGTTAACACTTTTGCATCCTCGAGACCTTTTCATTATAGTGTTATTGTTAACAAATCTTCGACTCACGCACTTATAAACACAAAACATATGCTACATTTAAAATCGACAGTTTTATAACACTTGTCAAAAAGTTGAAAGGAGGATATATACTTATATATGTTTTTATTAATAAAATTACCAATAGATTAACAGAATTTTACTTTAAAACCGTTTCTAACAGAAACTTTTAACTTTTATTTCACGAGATTTCATAATAACGTCAGAATGGTTTTTTAAAAAATATTTCTCAGAAATATGCATCTGAAAGGGCAATTACGTTGTCGCTAAAAGCCGGTGGCGGGAACATCGTAGAATGTTAGCGAAACAAAGTGTAAATGGATTGATTGCGCCAATTCTCTCACAAAGGGACGCAAAATTGCATTAAAAGCTCCGCGGCGCGGGCCATTTGGCAAGCACTTACTCACTTAGAAGCGTCCAAATAACGTTATCTAGTGGTAGAAAATATTCCCCACGCGGATACGGGTTCACACCTAGTATAAGTAGTTCTCAACTTGATCTCTCTTCAACTTTGACCTGATTTTTAAAAGACGTGAATATATAGAGTCATCCAACACACTATATACTTACTATTATTTAGAAATTGTATTAATTTTATCATAAAGAAAACTAACTCTAGTAAGAATTTGATTTTAGATAATAAATATATTAAAAGCTTTATCACGTATGCGAGTTATTTCAAAAGCAATTCACTTAAAACGACTAATTTTATAAATAGTTTAAAGCTGCCGTTCGGCCGTTGTAAAGCGCCTGGCGCTAAAGGTTAATTAATTGGATTGTGCGCCTGAGTGGCACTCATCGCTAATTCACAAATTAGTCGCTTACAAAGCGGGCTTCCCTGCGCGGTATAGATGTTCCAAATCTATTTCACTTAATTTCTAGCCGAAGCCATTATTGCAATTTCGATTCGACGTGTCCATTTATTTGTCAGATTTCGGTTCTACGCGTTCGGAAACATTTACAGTAATTGTCAAATATAAAACCTTATGTGTCACATTAAAAAACCATTAAGTTTAATAAAAACAAAAAAAAAAACAACGTTTACAAACATCCATTAGTTAAATTGCGCTGTATAATTTGAATTTGCTTTTGTCTATCAAAATATATTTAATTGGCGGCGTTGGTATATATTGTAATATGTGATTATGTTCTCGGAGGCGTGTATTTGGTTAATGGATGAAGATAAGAGCGGTTGCTATCGCGATCGTCGTAATTAGAGGGACGGAGCCGGCTCTTCCTTATAGCCACTTAAAACTATACGGCTTTCACACGTCATGTCCTATGAAAGGCGACGTCGTATTTGCAATGATTTGCAATTATGCAAATAAATTACCATTAATTTTATTTTTAAATATCATTTATTTATCATGTGTATATTTTTATTATTGTTATTAGAAATAATTATTTATTATTTTGTTGGCTGTATGTCTTAAACCTTTGCATCTTTGTATATTTTTAATGTGACATCTCTTTAAAGTGTCAAAATTCAAAAATAAAATTTCATTGAAACAAATGTTATAATTGTTATAATATCCCAATCATATACAAAAAGGCTGTGTAAAAAGCATGACTTCCCGTAGGGTGAGAGCTTTTAGTGAAATTGCCCTATAAATATTCACAGAATAAAAAAATATATATAAATTAATAGCACACTATCGCGACGTTAATTGCAAATTACCATTGCATATGTTATTGTGTTATAAGCATGACTCGTAATAAATGAAAGACGTTTCCAGATTATATAATACTTAATATTATATACTCTGTGGTGTTTAAATGGCGGGAAAATAATATGAAAAATCGTTGGAAAATGTATTAATTGTTAAGTTTGGAAATATGTTTTTATATACTTTATAGATGTTATCTGGGTGAGTTGATAAAAATGTATTGTTTCTCCGATCTATATCTCGTTGGTCATAGCGCAAACAACGGAACGACGAACACACCAACTGTGCTACTACGACGGGGGCTCGCAACCTTTTAAATAACATAATAATGAACTTTTAACTATATTTAAAAAGTTTTATCTTTTTTCTAAACTTCAAAGGGGAGTATTATTTAATAATTAATAATCTTTTATTTTATACTATACTTTTAGAAGATACTAGCGATTTGGTTAATTTTTTTTTTTATAATTTTGTACGTAGCAAACAAAAAACTAATGAACGTATAATTTAATAGTAAATATATTATTATTCGTGATTTTCAAAAATAAATGACATACCTAAATATAATTTTTTTTGTCCACGAATTCAATGATCGTTTTACGTTTTAATTTTTGTCTAGAAGTTTCTTTAGACAATGACATAATATTTAATCTCTTCACAATTTAATTAAAACTATAAACAAACTAATTAAAATTCTAATATTTAATAATATTTGGCGTTTCAAACTGTTGTCAACCTCTGGCAGAT